GAGTTGTGTGGACATGGGTTTGCAGTTTCTTGTCTCTTCCCCTCTCTTCTGTGTACATAAATTTTGATTGGGCGATTGCCCCCTATCCTTCGGTTTGATATCTCTGTTTTGGTTTTCGCCTGAATTGGCGCATCCTGCATTTCCTTCTCTTTTGATTGCCTTTTGTCGACGTGGATGAATTGATGGAATGCGCATCGTTTTCTCTTGCTCCTCACYWATGTATGGGATTAGTTGCTCACAACCTCGTGAAGTTTTGATTGCATCGTGATTAGTTGGCCGCTATCATTATGCTGGATGTATGTGCAGATTGTCTGTTTGAGTTTATAATTGACGTCATCATCCCGACCCAAAAATTACGTCGAGCATATCTGAGAACCCATGTCTGAGAACCACACGCAACGATRACACGGTCCTCAGGCTCTAGCTCATCTTGGGACAGGGAATACTTTGAGCCCTGGATCCAGGAATCCCGCCGAGAGTACTATCGCACRCGAGGAGCGTATCCGGAATTCCCGAATTATACGAGAAACCAAGAGTGCGAGCGGGAATTTCATCGTGCGATAACCAATGATCCGCGCGGAGCAGACTATCCCGAACCGAATTACACACAATATTACACCTCTCCCGGATTCGTGGTTGTCGCCACTAATTACCCTCCCTTCCGTGTTCTCCTCCCATATCACCAGCTCACAGTGGTGCCATGGCGGGTCATAGCCGCGTATTGGCCTGAACCGTGCAGAGAGTGTTTACTTAGGCGCCACCCGCGTGCTCCTCGGTTTGACCAGCTCGCCCATAACCCGCGGCGTGTGCAACGATGGACCCCTTTTCGAGTCCCCAAGCGGGACGCGCGGCCGTCCCCCGCACCACGGTGATCCCCATCAAACCCGAAACTGTGAGATAGGCGGTAATTGCGCGCTTGCCCTGCCCTTCGACAGTATTGCGCCCACGACCCTTGAACTCGGCCACAGAAAATCCCAGTTTCGACCTGGGACTTCAACCCCCACTTTCCCAAAAATCCTTGGCACACCCCTCTTCGCACTTCCAGGCCCCCATTCCACTCCGATCAGGAAGTCGCGCCGGGCGTGAGGTTGATATCGGAGCCCGACACGTGGCTAAGCGATAGGGTCTGTAGACTCAATATTGGCTAAGGCGAGGCGATCTGGCTCCACGTAGGCGCCCTTCAGCTGGGGATACACGCCGACGTAGTCCTGTAGCTACACGAAGCCGAACGTCCGCCGCAAGACGAGCAGGCACCATGGCTGCGGCCGCTGCTGCAGCAGCCGCTGCGGTGGTCAACCCCAATCAACAGCCTAACCCGCCTTTGCCGCCTGCACGAGCCCCTGCGGCTCCACCAGATCTTTATTTATTTGACCCAGCCCACCATCTCGCTGGAGCATGGTTAGCCACGCTCCGAGCTCAGCGGTATACGAATGATGAAGCGCAGATCAACATCCCCGCGCGGATGGGGGGAGATGCCCATCATTGGTATAGCACTTATGTATGGGTGGATCTTCCCACATTTGAGCGGGATTTCATGAACCACTTCGAGTATGTTCATCCCGAACAAACACTCTATATGATCAAGGATCGAGTCCAGAAACCACTCGAATCCATTACTGATTATCAGAACAGGTTTCACCGAATGTTTGTGAAGACTGAGCGGAGTGAGCAGGTAGGCCGAGACTTGTTCATCGACGGACTACGTAACAGAATGATTCGGGGAAAACTACGTAAAAACTTCTCTCCTATTAACCACACGCTGCAACAAATTATGGCGGCTGCCGAAGAAATGGAGCGGAAATTTGCAGCTAGCTTTCTAGAAAATGAGGATTATGGTAGAGAAGGAGATTCGTCCGAGCTTGTGAAAGCAAGGGCAGAACTGGCCGCGCTGCAAAACAAATTCGAAAACATGGGATTCGTAGCCGGACCCGTTACGTATGTAGAACAGGTATCATCGAGGACCGCACCCCCTGGAGTGATTGTAAACAGGCAGATCCCAGTGATGGCAACCCCAGCCGTAACCCCGCCACGTCCACCACCCTCCCCCATCGAACCCCCTACACGAGCGAGTGAATCTACTGCTATCTTGGAGCTAACTAAAACATTGGTCAGTCTAATCCAAGAAAGCAAGAAAGAACAGCGGGAGCACAACGCCCGATTAGAAGCTATGATGCGGAACGTGCAGCCCATTGCGGTGCGAGCACCGATGCAGGGAGGCATGGCTGCTGCACAGGCTGCAGTGGGGCCTGCCGGGACAGCGGCGAATGTCTGTTTTACATGTCATCAACCAGGTCACTTGGCCCGAGATTGCCCCCATCGTGCCATGCAGCCTCGAGGCGGGGCCGCGCCTGCAGCTGCAGCCCCCATAGCTAACGGCCCAGGACGTGTAGGAGCCGTGATGGATGATCAGGGAGGAAGTAATGGAATGATGATTTCCAGTGAGGAAGCAGCCGAGCTTATCCCGCTGGAGCAGTACGTATCACTAGGATATCCGGGGCTGGGAATGATTGAAACGATCCGACCAGAACTCGAGTCCAGAGATGTCACTGAATGGCGGCCTTCGTCGAGCGAAATGGAGACGGGGGGTCCTACCTTTGTTACAGGAGAGATCGATGTCCTTGATGTTACCCGAGCACTGGATCATCGAATCCCTCTCCCAATCGGCCACCTACTCTCCATTTCAGAACAGGCGAATGAACGAATGATGCAATACTGCAAAGCAAACCGGAAGCGATTCGTCCTTGCACTGCAAAGCAAATCGGAAGCGATTCGTCCTTGCACGCGCAAAAGATCAGAAGGCGAAGGCGCCGACTCCGGAAGAAAAGGCGGTCGCCGCCTCTGACCCCATTCGAGTCGGATTGATACAGAAAGACAACCACTTTCTCCGGATCAGCCGATTCCGTGGAAGTCAGCCGAATGTGATATCGAAGTCTGGGGAGTGCCGTACAGTGCGATCATAGATTCGGGAACGGCTGTTTTAGCAATATCACTCCGAGTAGTTGAAAGAGCGGGTAGGAAGAGTGATTTGATCATGCTAATTGAGAAAGACCAGCTCGTATCGGCTGACGAGGAAAAGATCAAGACAATAGGACGGATGACAAATGTCGCGTTCCGGTTGGGAAAAGTGCATGTGTTAGGAGACGTTGTGGTGTTGGATGTGAATACGTATGACGTTCTTTTCGGACTTCCTGCATTGGTTGCGCTGCGTGCTAATTTGGACTTCGAACGCCGATCAGTCATTCTCCGGAATACCGGGGGAAAGCCGTATGTAATACCGATGAGACTAACTCTCTGAACATCGGTTAAGGTAGTACCCCGAATTTCTCCGGAAGCAATGGGGGGGGCGCTCCGCATGATCTCCTGGAACGCATCTGTGGACGAAGGCCAATCGTCGAATGACACGGGGAGCGACGACGATGATGACCCAGTTGTAACACGGCTAGTGCGGCAGCGGATTCACTACCCGCCGCCCCGCAATATCGCACGTACCATGCATCTAACCGCACAAAATGCTCATATGATGATCATGGGAGAACCCCTCGTACAGATTTCGAGGCTGGTTGATTCCTTGGAACCCCCTCGAACCCTGTACGAAGGCGTATCCCCTCTTCTCCTTCGGTATAGTGACAAGCGTTCCTTCTGTGATTTCACTGGCTTACCTCGATCCCTGCTTCAGCCCGCAAAATAAATACAGTTATTGCGGTTGGGAGCCGAAGCAGGTTCTTTGGAACCCCCTCAGCGCATCGAGGCAAGATCCGATGAGCTTGGGATCAAAATTTCGCCCAGAAGCGTGCCCTGGCAAGACATCTGCGACGGAATAACTCCCGAAGGTCATACGGCGATCAGGGAAGAGGAAGCACAGATGGTGGTCACTGTGTTTTCTTGGAAATCGGATCATTCTTTTATATCCGCACCGCCCGACACCACTCGGCGCATACACACGAAGCAGGTAAATGTTCGGATTTTGGGTCAAATGTACGAGTTGCATGTGCCCCAGTATGTACCTGATGAGATCCATCGGTTGATCGCTGATATTTTAATGGAATACCAAGGGGCGATTAGCGTGTCCGATGCCGATATTGGATTGTCTGTGGTCGTTCAACATGAGATTCAGACCGGGAATCATTCCCCGATCCACTGCAAGCCGTATCGATACTCGTTAACAGAGCGCAAGACGGCCTTGCAGCGAATCAGGGAATTTGAGGCGAACGGGTGGATTGAGCCTGCCACCGGTCCCTGGTCGTTCCCAGTTGTATTGGTTCCTAAAAAGAACGGGTCAGTCCGCATATGCATCGATTATCAAAAACTGAATGATATCACGATTAAGGATGTGTATCCCCTTCCCCGGATTGATGATCTGCTTAATGCAATTGGGTGTGCTAACTATTTCAACAAGTTCGACATTCGGCATGGGTTTCATCATATCTTGGTAAAGGAAGAAGATTGCCCAAAGACCGCCTTCGTTTTGTTTGAGGGCACGTGGCAGTGGGTTCGGTGCCCGATGAGAATCTGTAATGCGCCTGCCACGTTTCAGCGAGCGATGAACGTGACTTTTCAGAATTTCGTCAATAAGACACGGCTGACTCAGGGGATGATTAACTTTTGCGTCATTGTATATATGGATGACATTCTGGTGTACTCGGACACGTTTCACAGACACGCGCAGCACATCGAATGGACGCTAGGCGCGCTGAGAGACGCAGGTTTCAAGATCGCGCTGGAAAAGAGCGAGTTTTTCCTTCCGGAAATCTCGTTCTTGGGGTATGTTGTGACACGTGGAGGTCTGCGGCCRGACTCTCGGAAAGTCGCGRCRGTGAAGGAGGCCMCGGTTCCRACCTCACTGACGCAGGTTCGAGCCTTCTTGGGCCTGGCCTCGTATTACCGGCGGKTTATCAAAGGGTTCGCGGCGATAGCAAGGCCTCTGACAAACCTGCTGCGAAAAGAACAGCCCCTGCATTGGGACGACGATTGCGACCGGGCCTTCGGGGCCCTGAAGGACGCTCTCGTTACGGCCCCGATTCYGATTCGGYCGGAGCCCTCTCGACAGTTTATTCTCATCACCGACTGGCAGCCGGAGGCTATTTYGGCAATTCTGGCACAGAAGGGAAACGATGGGAAGGAGCATGTCATTGAGTACGCGTCCCGGACGGTGCCAGACGAGCGACRAAACGATTYCGCGCCACAAGGAGAGTGYTATGCGGTAGTTTGGGGTATCCAGCACTTCCATCCGTATTTGTACGGTCATAAGTTTTTGCTCGTCACCGACCATGAACCTCTGTTGGCTCTGAAAAAGCTAACTAATTACACGGGCATGATTGGACGATGGGCGGTGCGTTTGCAAGAGTATGATTTTGACATTGTTCATCGAAAGACGGAGAGACACGGCAACGCCGACGGACTGACACGTTTGCATCGACCCGGTAAAGTACCAAAGGCGGAAGAGATCACACCGTGGAAGGACCCGGACATCAATAACGGTCCAAAGTACGGAGAAGTCGCAGTTATTCCACGTGGCAAGGGGTCGGTGAAGGACAGTGGGTGACGGAGGTAATGTTCCGATTTCCTCTCTCTCTTCCCCATCCTCTTCTTTCGCCTCCCTTCCTGACAAATTTTGCTGTTTCTGTGAGTCAATCTCTCGTGTCTATTCCGTCCACATGCATCCTAAGGGGATTGGATATGCCGAATGGGTAGACTTTCGGAAATGTGTCGCACGTGCTCATGGTGCGTGCATACAGTATCGGAGTAGTGATAGACCCTGGTCCTGTCCCCTATGCCGCACTGACAAGATTCTGACGGAAGCCCGATTCCTCGAGGCCACGTCGGAGGGCCCTGACAAAATCCAGAAGTTGAGAAGAGCGAAAGTCTGGACAGATGTCGCCTTAATAGCCAGTATAGTAGGGAACTCCCTCGAAACCTTCTCCAAGGAAGATCGGAGGACGGCCAATGAAAGAGCACGGGATTACCGATGGGTGGATGGATGGTTAGAAAAGCGTAAAGCAGACGGCAGCGGGGCATGGTTAGTGGTTCCACACCCGTTCATGAGGTACGACTGGGTACGGACAGCCCACGAGGAAACGGCGACACATTTTGCCGTGCGTATTACTGAAGCTGCAATCGACAGAAATCAATGGTACTGGTCCAACATCCGGGACGACGTTAAATTCATCGTCCAACACTGCCAGGTCTGCGCTGCTGACAAGGCCCCAACCCAACCGCCTAGGTTGATAGTCCCAACCATGGTTGAAAGACCGTTTCAGAGGGTTAGCATGGATACTACCGATATAGTGGTGCCCCCTGGCCCGAATAGCTACGAGTATCCAATTTTGTTGGTTTTCGTCGACCACTTTTCTAAGTGGATCGAGGCCTTCCCCTGCAAAACACGACAAGCCGCGGAAATCGCGCGGTACGTCAACCGATTTCTGGGCATGCACCAGGACACCGAAGAAATCCTGACCAACAATGGGGTCGAATTTAGGGGGGAAGTCTAGAAGAACCTGGTCGTACACGGCGTCTCCATACGACACACAGCCCCATATATGTCCCAGTCCAACGGATTAGTAGAAAATGCAAATAGGGTGATAAAAACGGCATTGAGACGGAATATTGCGGCACATGACGCCCGACCCTGGACTGATATTGTCGACCACATCTTGGCGGTCCATCGCGGAACGCCCCACGAGTCGACGGGCCTAAGCCCCTTTCAATTGGGGACCAATAGCGTCGCGTGTGTTTCGATCCCGAGCCTCCCAGACGAGTCAGGACTCAACCGACGCCCCACACGGGCCACCACTCGGGACAAAGCCAAGCGGCACCTGGAACTCATGGAGCGGACCCTACCTAGGCTGGCCCGGAAGCGACAATGGTTCACCGAATTGGCCCATGGCCGACAAATCCGAAGTTACGAGGCCCGGAACGGGAATGCGGGTCCCAGGACCCAGTATAAGTTAGGGGACATCGTGCAGGTAAGGAAATGTGCGCGTCAGGGTAAACTAGCGCCACGATTCTTCGGCAGTATCGAGTGATTGAGCTCGGACCTAACGACGTTGACACCGTGCGCCTCGCTCCCGAGGTTTCCGGCAGTTGATCGGCTCGCCCGATCACACGCCACATGTCCTATCTCCGTCTTTTGCCCTCTGTTCCGTCTCCTTCCCCATCGACCTCTCCTGACAACGACTCTATCTCCCCTACATCTCCCTCCTCTTCTCAATCACCGTCGGTTACGCCGTCACCATCGCCATCGCCATGAGCTTTATGGAAGAGAGAGCTCTCAGTGAAGGAGCGCTAGTAGCACGTGGGAGTTTGACATTACGACAAGTGCATCATCCCCGTCTTAGTCCCTATCTTCAACGGCTCGCGCAATTCTTCTGCTCAAGGGGTGTCTACGCGACAGCAGAGATCCACGTCGATGGGAGGGCTGACGCGATCATATTGGCCGAAGCTGTCGGGCTGCAACAACGGGCATCTGCGGGCGTCGGCCAGATAACGGTGGTGGTCAATTTCAGTGGGGATCTCACGGCAATCCCTCTCCACCGACACGCGAGCATCGAGGTGGCGTTGCTTCTGTGGGTGCAGAATCTTCAGAACGAGTGGACCCTGCTCCCGGTGCACGAAGGAGACCTGATCACACCAATCCGAGCGATCGGATACGACGACCTTTGGCTGGATCGGCGTGACCCGCCGACGCGATTACCCACCCTCATCCCCTTCCATCTTCGATGAGCTCCTTCCCGATCTCTACTTTCGAGTTTCCTTCTTCTTTCCCCACCTTTTGGCAGTCTGATCTTCATCCCCGCCTCTCCTTCTGCATAAATCCTCTGGCTGTCCCCCTCCTCGATCCACCTCAGTGGGACGCGTGGCGCAGAGACTTCGTCGAGCTTTCAATGTGTTTGGCGGAAGTACAGGTGACGTGGATGAGGGATGAGAGAAATTATCCGCGGTCTGAGCGACTGGAGCTCCTCTTGATTCAGGCGTGGCGGACGGAAGTGGAGGGTGACCTTCTCGGTTTCCTATTCGGGTCAGTACGTCCAGGCTGTCGCAGGCTTCTCACCAAGGAGCTTATGGTCCCGATTGCGCAGCTGACAGACGATCTCGACGTCAGCATCGTCTTCCAGGACGACCCGCGCTTGGTGCCTCACGTCACCTCGCACACGTTGTTGCCGTATATTCAGTGGTCAGCTTGCGTGGAGGGCTTCCCATCGAGAATTCCGCCTTCGCGGTTGGACTATTTAGATCCACGCGACATCTGGGATCCCGCTTTCTACAAACCGCCGAACGAAGACGAATTGGAGGAGATAATCCGTGAGGAGCTCGCGGAGGAAAGTTCGGTGGAGGAGGAAGAGGACCCGAACGAAGACGAAGGGGAGCCAGCAGAGCAGGGTGAGAACGAAGAAGAAGAAGACAACGAGCAAGGGAGCGACGAAGACAGCGACGAGGAGCGGGAGCTAGCCCCAGAAGTTCGACGGGCAGTTGCCATGGCCATTCCGAACCGGCAATTGGAGGAGCAAGCCGCCGGAGAGCCCCAACTGGAGATTGCGCCGGTCGCTGATCTTCTGATCAGCGACGATTCAACGCTCGACCCCGAGCCACCTCAGCCAGACGACGGCGATGTGGCCCAGATGGCTGGGCCGTCTGCTAGCCGGCCTCCTTCCCCACAGCGACGCCGCCGACGAAGCCGCTCCCCCTCCGCCTCCTCCTCCCTCGCGGCCCGTCCCGCACTTCGCGCACGTCGAGATGAGGCCGATCCATCTTCGTCCTCGGGCTCTCTCTCTCCGCCCCCTTGACTTCCTCACCCTATGCCAGCTCGCCCATTCCGCCGTCTTCCCCCACAACCCAATCCCCCGCGACACTTTCCGTCATTACTTCTCCATCCGTCTCTCATTCACCGTCCATCCCCACCCATCCGCCCGGTGTGCTTCCCTTGAGTTCCCTCTCCATGTACTTCTTTTCAGCGTAGGATGGCGTCGCATCAACGCCGTAGAAGTTTATTGCCTCATCACAGGGTTAATCCCTGCATGCGCCGACAGCGATCGCTTTCGCGCGGCGCTTCTTAGAACCTTCACCACTCTCTATCCCGACTACCTCGCTTCTCTCCCCACTACTGGCAATCGATTCCCCCGCTTCCATARAATCGTCCATCATYGGAGCATTCCGGAGACGGACGATGAACTGGAACGCTTCTTCCCTCCTATCCCGACTCATCCCCCATCAACACCTCCGCCTGCCTACCGTCTTCCTTTTCCTCTTCCCCACGAGTGAGGACAACAGGGAAACGACCGCCGCGCGGCATGACTTCCACATTCGGTAACACAGTATGCGGCAGAGAAGAAGATGCACCGCCCACGACCAATCAACCAAAGGTGATCGACACGTCAGCCAGCAAGCAGGAGCTTGCTTATTTCAGGAACCCACTGGGCGTCACATATGTGACGAACTACTTTCTGTAGTGCGCGACTTTCTGCGCGAAGCACCCAGTGGGGTCCCACGACGATTGGAGGGGTCGATGGAAAATTGACTGTGTGTCCTTGTTTTCTTCGTCGTTTCTTTGTCCTCGCACGAGTTCCTGATGACGGTTCGGGAATTCGGGAATGCATGGGGAAAAAGAACTGAAACTTGGTCGGATGGATGCGGAGTGCTCGCCAAGTGCGCGATTAATAAACATTGACGTCGCTTCTTTTCTTTCTTTTGATTTTTGTTTTGTCAGACTTTTGGGCGCGCAGACATCGCACGGAAATTTCAGCGTCTTTTTGAATTTTCTTTTCGAAGCTTGGTCGGAGCCATACGGCCTTCGGGATTTTAATTTTCTTTTTGGACCTTTTCGTAATATCGGCAGGATAGCTAGGAATTTAGGAATTCTGGAATTTCTGTTTTTTTCCTGGAGCGCTGTTTTGCATGTTTGCGCGCTTTTTCTTGCTGATGCGCCGGGACCTTGATTAACTGGCGCCTTAATCCTTTTTGCAACTGTAATTTTGGGCGCACGCCTCTGCAACTGTATCTTTCTGTTTCTTGCTCCTTGTTCTTCCCGCCTCGTTTCTTTCTCTCTTCCCTCCCTATCTGGGTAGCCGCGTTTGCATGACCGGATCGATGCGTGGAGTTGGGTACGTCCCCCACGCTGCGGCCTGACCTTGCAAACGTAGGCACTCCCTTCCCTTCATCTAACTAAGTCCTTGTAATTCAGTGTTCCTCGCGCACGCATGCACGCTATAAATTCCGATTGCGCGATTAATCTTCTCTCTTAGCAAACTGGAAGCTCGGGGTTGCGCGATGTGAGATCGGAACACGAGCGAAGTAAGAGGTGAGCAGAGGCGGAGTTGGGCGATCCGACGAGCTGACGCCGAATGCGCGGGGTTGACGTGGGCCACGACGAACTGTGGGCACGGGCGAACCTGACGGGTGCAGGAGGGTTAAGCGGGGTAACAACTTCGCGGGTTGGTGCGTGACGACGGACTGTCCGCATCGGAGAGAGAGAGAGAGAGAGAGAGAGAGAGAGAGAGAGAGAGAGAGAGAGAGAGAGAGA